TCCTCTTGTTTATTCCCCACACTATGAGCGTTTGCATGGAGGCATTTAAGTCGGGCCCCTGATGAAGCTGACTTACTGGCTGGAGTGGCTGGGATTCCTTTGTGCTGCTCTTCAGATGTTGTCCTGCTGACCTGTGATCCCTCTCCAGGCTCTGGGCATCATTTTTATTACATGTATGCGCGTAATAAAAATTAAAGGACCTGAAAATACAAAGCTATAAATACTTTTATAGCAAACTACTTTCCTGTCTTCTTGACTTTTAGATGAAAGGAACTAATGTTTTTGATTTTATTATTATTAGTTTGCCACTGGCAAACATTGAACTGTCAGAGATGTTACTTTTTTGTTAATGCCATTGTGTAAGAGTTTTGCTACTGTGAAACGTGGGCTGACAAAACCATCTCCTTTTACAGCTCTTGAAAGATATAGAAGAAGTATGATGACTGTCGAGCAATAACCTGGTTTAGAGTTCTATGAGGAAAACTAAATAGCTGTAGATCGGGGAGTTCAGCTTGTCTGGGAAACAAAGAGCATTCTGGCTTGCATTCCTTTTTCCAACATCATGGAAGCATAAAGACAGTCCACTTGCTATGCTCTTTGTCTTATAGTCTGACTTATTTTTAATATGGAAATTTGGTCCTTTTGTTTCCTGTTGTAGTCAGGTGCTCCAATTCTGTAGCAAGAAGCTGAAAAAAGTGCTATGTTCACATTTGCTGGATCAGTCCTATTGCTGTTTATAATTTTCAGCTGTTGAAAATTAATTTTAAGCATTTAAGCTTGTTAAATAGGATAGTTTACCCAATCTGATGCTGACTACACTAAGATTATAATTTATTACTATTATAAATATTAAGTCTTAAACTGCAGTTTTTTGGTTTTTTTTGTGGATAGCTGTATGCTTGGGGCTATAACAACTGTGGTCAAGTTGGATCTGGATCTACAGCAAACCAGCCCACTCCTCGTAGAGTTTCGAACTGTTTACAGGGTAAAATGGTAGTTGGCATTGCTTGTGGTCAGACCTCCTCCATGGCGGTAGTAAACAATGGTGAGGTAAGCATTGCTGCATTCTCCCCTTCTCTCCCTGTTACCCAAATTTACCAGTTTAATGTGTGAACATAGAGAAACGCTGACATGGAGTACTCGAGTTAGTTGTATTGATAGAGTTACCTTAGAGTGATATTGATAACTTCTGTGAGACCAGTTTGAGGAAAACTCTGCAGTTAACTGGAGATGCTCTCTTTACGCCAAACATTCCTTCTTACGGCAAAGACTGTATTGGAACGTAATTCTTACTGAGTCTGCAGCTGCAAGAATTTGAACAGTTGTATTGAGCATGTCTGTCTCATATTTCAATAGATTATTTAATATATGTCTTAATTAAATTTTTTGAAAGCATGCACAGCTAAATAGTTAATCTTTCTGCAAGAATACACAAATTTGATCCTGGTTCTTAAACACATTGCTTAATTGCCAGCAGCAAAACCAGACCAAGCTTTTGAACATTGCCCCAGTATTGTACGACTGTTCTGTTTCGCATAAGTTTGTGGTGCTATCTTGCTTCTAGGTGTGAACTATAACCTCAATTTTACTACATTTCACCAAACTAGAAGTGTAGCATTTCTTTGTGACTGGAGGGACTGTAAAAGTCCCTGAGGTTGAGATGAGCTTTTGTTGTACATACTTTTGTCTTGATGTGTGCATCATAACAAAACTAAAGGGGAAAAATTAGAGCTAAACTGGAGACTTCAACTTAAATTAATCCAATAGCTAATCAGCTGATCAGAATAACTAATTTCTTGTTTTCTTTAAAAAAAGAAAAAGGAATAAGGAGAAAGGAAGGTGTAAAGGTCAACTAAAATATTGAAGCTGTGGGAGAGATTTTGGTGTATTGTAGGTTTATTGCAAAGTTCCTGGTATTTCAAAGGCAAATATATTTTAGAAAGCTTCTTTAAAAGGTAAATGCAGGCTTGAGAAGTTGAATACAGTCAGTCATTGCAGTGTATTTAATATCTTTCAGCCTTCTCTATATTACTCTTGAAATAGTGTACAGTTTTTTAATAGGATGCAGTTTTTTGACTTTGTGCTTAATATTAAATCTTAAATGTTCTCTACTTTTGCAGAGAAGTGGCTTAATTTTGTTTTCCTTTTGCACTCAGGTTTACGGCTGGGGTTACAATGGTAATGGTCAGCTAGGTCTTGGAAACAACGGCAATCAACTAACGCCATGCAGAGTGGCAGCGTTACATGGCGTGTGTATACTCCAGGTATGTCTAACATAGAAATGAAAATGCATTCATGTTACTAGCATCTGCTACAACTGTATCTTTGGAATTTTATACCTGCTTCTAGATTTCAGAGTTCAAATACTGACTTTTTTTAGCTCCTGTAAATTATATTAGGCTTATAAAAAGTGTAAGCGAGCTCTAAAATACTTGCTTTTGTAAGTGTTCTGAATAATTTAAAGTTAGCTAGTGTAACTATAAGTAAATTATGCTTTGGATACAAATTGCATCTTTGTTACAAAGCTGAATGAATGAAATGCCCTAGGCAAAGACAAGAAATGCAGGGGAACAAGATGTTAAAATTAGATTCTACATCGTTATTCTAATTAGCCCTTCAGAAGTGAGGAGAGAGGGAAAATGAGTCATGGATGTGGGTTTGGTGGTTTGGTGGTTGGGTTTTGCTTGGTTTTTGTTTTTTCTCAGCTAAAGAATAAAACTAAAATTTGGGATTTCCTGGGTTTTTAATAAGGTTCTGTGGAGTTCCATGTGATAACTTGGGTTGAACGGTTGTTGGCTGTTGAACTGCAACTCTCATAGTTTGTATAGTATTCAAAATGTCAAATTCTGAAAGCATTTCAGAGTTGCAAGACATGATGATGAAGTTCATTGTTCTTTGTGTGAAGAGTCTGCAACTGAAAGCAAGTAAAGGTTAGGGAGACTTTGCGAGAGTGCAGTAAATAATTTAGGAGTAACCAATGAACACTAAATTAACGAAGTTGGGGCTTTTCCAGTACCTACAGTTAACATATTTTGTGTTAGCTTTAAGTACTGAGAAATAACACGTTGTAGCACTAAATGAAGAATGCTTGAGATATTTAACATCAGCTAGACTAAGGTAATGTGTGCGATGATTTTGTTTCTCATCTCTGTTTCTTTTAGTAGTAATGCTTATACATTTACTTACAGATTGCCTGTGGCTATGCGCACACACTAGCACTAACAGATGAGGGTTTGCTCTATGCCTGGGGAGCTAACACTTATGGGCAGCTGGGAACTGGCAATAAAAGTAACCAGCTAAGCCCGGTGCAGATCATGATGGAAAAAGAAAGGTAATCTTGTTGAAGCTGTTTCTGGATTGATAAGTCTGAGCATGTGATGTGCAATCTCTAGCACTGGAAGCATGCATGTGTAGGGCTTGGTGGATTGTTTTTCTGTTGCTAATGTTAAAAGCATAGGAAAGGATGGTAACTTTCTGTTTATTGTAGACTGAGTGCTTTTTGCTATCTGTAATGATTGCTGAAAGTAAACATACTTTTGAATTTACCTAATACTGAAAGATGATGAGTGACTAAGTGTTAGGCTATTCTAAATATGCTTCCTTTGGAGCTATGAAATCAATAAACCAAGCTTTTAAGCTATATTGAGACCTACATTTAAAAAAAAAAAAGAGGGGGGAAGGAAGCACCACCTTTGTAAGAAGTGACATGTGAGGAAAAAACAATTTTCTGAAAGGCTGACAACAGCCAACCATGTAAACAGAACCCGATTTGCAAGGCTGCTAGAGCTAAGGACAGATAATACCACTTTTATCAGTGATACCAGTTAGTAGTTTGTAGTTTCTTAGTTTCCTAGACTCATAAAAGGATAACCCTAACCCTTATCCACCCTCTTTCAGCACCCTTGTCATCCTCACTTTTGGGATGGCTCTTCTGCTGTTCACCTACAAACTTGGACCTCAGTCCCATTCTCTGGGCCCATGTGTATACATATAGATTAATGTACCTCAGTTTGGAAACCTCTTAGCCTATAAACCCATTAACCTGTAAATCTCCTAACTTGTAATCTCCTCTTAACTAGGAAACACTTGTGTTTGGTTTTTGTCCTCCACTTCTGAACTGTCTTTCTGGGAAATCATTCCTATTTTTCCTGTTTCTCTCACTTAACACTAAATTAAAAGCTGCACAGTACTGAGATTATTTAAGAGCTTAAAAATGGGTGGGGGAAAGAAGAAAGAAACCATCACAATAGAAGCTACTGAGATGAGGCTGGCTTGTCTGTGAAGGAACTGACACTAGAGAAGCAAAATGAAATATTCTTTTAAAAAGCACTGGAAGAGAAATGTGTATGTTTGCAAATAGATCAACTTTGTTTTCTTAGTGATTTATTTCTTGAGTGAGTTGAGGGGAACTGTTGCATTTAGAACTGTATGTGAACTCAAGCATGGGATTATAATAAAACTGGCATTTGTTCAATGACTAAAGGAGGGAGAAAATATCATAGAACTTCTGCTTGGATTCCAAGGGAGAGATAAGTCACTTGAACTTACTCATCTTGCTTGACTTGGCTCCCTTGGAAACAGTGCTATAAGTGGGTGAGCTGTCATTTCCCATGAAGCATATTACCGTTCCTTCTCCTGGTCTTTTCAATGATATAACTCTTTTTGTCATTTATATGTAATGCTGGTGACAGTTCCTTAGGAGGTGGCATTTGATGCTGTCTTGAAGAATATAGTGCATATAGCTTGTAAGGAATTTTTAGACTTTATTTTGTGTTAGCTTGGAGGAATAGCTATGAAGGTCAGCTTCCTTAATTCTGATGTTAAGTGTATGCTTAATATATTATCCTGTATGTGTACTGTAAGTATACTGTATGTGTATATACACATGTTATAGTACACGTTCTACTATATTTCTTTAGTATAGTTACTCAAAAAATAAGAATCTGTTCTGCTAAGGAAAAAAGTTTGGGGAAGGAAGTAGTTCAGGTGGATAGCTATGATGGAAAGTAAATTGTCCCTAAAATAATCGCTTTATGATGTCTCTTGCAGAGATGCTGAAAGATCTCTGTTGCATAGAGGTTCATAAGTTGATACTGGTGTAGAACAACCCATTAGTCTTTCATCTGCCAGAAGTTATTGATACATAGCCTGAAAGTGATTGTAGATTCTTCCTGTGTTTTATCTTGAAATAATTTTTGCACTTAAAACATGGGCTTTGTGCTAAAAAGCTTTTTGCCTAAAAAGCTGACTCTTCATGGATATTATTCTGTAAAGGAACAAACATTTTGATATGTATATTCTTGGACTGCTTAGAAAGACATTCATTTGCCCCAGTTGATCTGTTTCTGGCACAAAAGCATGAAATCCTTTGGTGCATTTTTAGCATGGAGAAAAAACAGGAAAACGTAGCTTTTATTTTGAACTAATGCTGGAACTTCCCCTGGTTTTTGCTTATCGTGTGAACAGAGACACTGGAAATGTCCTTGAAGTCTTTTTAATGGCAATGTGATTCTTATCAGTTCTTCTAATGTTTCAGATAGCAAGAAAGGGATTGTCTGAGCAATGGGAGAGCAGAATAAATAAGTATGTATCAGCAGCTCTAATATTTTAAGGAACTATGTGAGGTGGCTGAAAATGCTGTATAGACTTCATTTAAAAAACAACCATAGTTTGTCAAGAATGTGGAGTTCAGTACCTGTATTCACTTGCTCTCAAACAAAGCACTGTCCATGTTCCATGCTGAATTTCACTGTTGAGGAAAGGAAGCTAACAGCAAAATAAGAGGTCAGAAATACAGCCAGTAGGTCAGATCTCGGTCTACATACAAAAAATGGAGTAGAAGGGTGTCTTAATAAAGGGTTTATTGAAAAATACGTAAGAACTTAATCTCAAAATAAGAGAATTTTTACAACATCGGTTTGAAAGAAGTTCTGAAAAATGCTCTACAAAAATCTTAGTAATATAACTTTCCTGCCTGTTCCCTAACTGGAAGTTTCATAAGCTCCAAAAGCATTTGTTCTTGAGAATAAGTGTCTGATGTACATTGGATTTAAAGGGGAAATAACAAAACTTTATTTTTCTTCATCCCTTTCCCATGGTTATGGAAGAAAAGGAGGAATGTCAATTGATGTGAATGACATAATTAAAGCAGTATCTGATTACAATAAAATCTACAAACAATCTGAAAATGTCATTGTGATTTTGAAGTACCCATTCAAACAGTGTCACATTCATAGAGGACATAGAAGTACAGGAGTGTAGATGCATAGTTTGGTTGGCTGTTATTGAGGTGAGGCATGTGGAAAGTCACTCGATTCTATATCTAAGTATCTTACAAGGTTTATTCTGTTTGCAGGGTTGTGGAGATTGCAGCCTGCCACTCTGCTCACACGTCGGCTGCCAAGACCCAGAGCGGCCAGGTGTACATGTGGGGCCAATGCCGTGGGCAGTCAGTGATCCTTCCCCACCTCACTCACTTTGCCTGCACTGACGATGTGTTTGCTTGCTTTGCTACTCCTGCTGTTATGTGGCGTCTTCTGTCAGTAGGTGAGAATAAGCTGCGATATGGCAGCTGGAGCTATAATCTCTGTGTACATTTGTAGCGATTAGTACAACATACCACTTCTATGGCAGGATGGTTCCTGCTTTAGGAATTGGCGATTATAACCAGCTCTTTTAGCTAGGTGGTTGTTTTTTTTTTTCTTCTGAAGAAAACAGTCTACTTCAGCAGCTAAGGATCCAGAATAGGGTTAACAGGGTTGGTTATTTGCCAGTATACATCTGGAGAAACCTCATTTTACCATTGCACTGTGAATATTGTGTATTTCCTACATTTGTATTGTTTGAGCTCCAGCTCAGGACTGGGAAGGATTCCTGGATCATTAAACATAACTTTTTTCCCTTAAAGCTCTTCCTACTCAGAAGAGTGCTCCTGGTGCTTGTAACCTTGGTATCTAACAACTTTGAATTAAGTGTTGTTTCTAGCTTTCCCTCCTTAGTATTTACCTTTCCAATATGAATATGAAGGAGTGAATATCTCTTCTATGTTTTGTGTTAGGAAAGTAAAGTAACCAAATTCCAAGCTTTCATTTTCTGAGATGATTTTTCTCAACTCGATTTAGTTTGACTTTCCCCAAAGACAGGCAGACTTGTAAATAATAGACTTTGTAAAACAAGACCCTAATATAACTGTTTTCTCTGTTGTAACTCTCTTCTACTGCCTTGGATTACACTTTGGGATGCAGTCTCTGTGACCAACAAATAAGCCCAAGCCTTTTTTCTTGATTATCTTTGATTCACATGCTGCTAATTCTTCTTTGACCCCAAATATGCTATAAAGTGCTTAGCTTACACTTGCTTGAAAACATGAAAGTGTTTTCATCTTAGATCTGCCGCTTCCATCGTCAAGATCATTTAGGAGATCTAATCTATTTTCATATTGACAACAGATTCTAATTTTGTTAGTGTCTGTACAAAATTGTTTTTGTGGAGGGATCACATCCTAAGTAATCTTTCTCCAGACTCAGACCTTATCTTTGCATGTGGCTTGTACTAACCCAGCTTCTCCATCTTAACTTCTCATTTAGCATAGTGTCACATTTATAAAGGTCTGGATAACAGCATCTCATCTATAGAGGAAAACCGAATAGTTTTACTAAAGAGAGAGAAGATTAGCTTGGAGTGATCTGCTTCTGAGTAAATCCAAGCCTTGTTTTATCCCACTTCTCACTTTCTCCATTCTCTAATCCTCTGCGATATGTTAGTGTTGCCCTCTGTAGAGGTCTGATGGTTGTCCAGGTCTGTTGCCTTCTGCTAATAGTGAAGGCTGCTTAAATGCCATCTCCTTGGTTTCAGTACCTTTCAAGTTCTTGATTTTTATGAAGTATCCCCAGACTGAGTATAACAAGGTATTTGAATTTTGTACCTGTATTTTAATTCCTCTTAGCCTTTGGGGGTTTTTCCCCTCTTATTCTGATAATCCTACTTACTGAATGTTTAAATCAAAAGCATTAATTCTGGGGGCATTTTTAATCTCCATTTTCCATATGCATTTTTTCCTTCCGAGCCTCTTTTATTCGTATAGCTTTAAAAAAAATTTCCTTTTAATGTGGTTTTTTTTTTTTTTCTTAGTGAGAGCTAACTCTGCATAAAGGTTATTGTTCTACTTCCAGTTATGATGGCTCTGCCAAAAAAATGAATCAGTCACTCAGGATTGGCTGTGGTGAAGTACAAATCCGCAGCCTTTTTTAAGAAATGAACTTAAGGTATTTGGAGTGAAAGTTGATCTGCTGCATAGCTTAAGCTAAGCTGATGACCTAGAAAAATCACATGAGTGGAGGGGGATTGGAGCATGGTGTAGTTAGCACTGATGAGATGCAGATTCCGTGGATGATCCCTGTAAACTGGAGGAGTGTATGGTCTTTTGTGGCACAAACTTGACTTGTCTGTTACAGCAGTTTGTTACAGCAGTATTTCTTTCTAAGTACCAAGAAATTTATCTGTCCCTAATGGTGAAGCGTTGTTTGTGGATTGTAAATGGATGGGCAATACGCAGTCCTGTGGGACCCAGGAGACAGACCACATCCCATTATAGTGGAAATCCACTTATTTTTCTTTTCCATACTTTGCTTCTTAGAAGCCATGTGTTTTGAAACACACTTTTAAGATATGTCAACAGAAGCTTCGAATAGTGGATTAAATTAGGTTTTCTAAAACTTCAGAGTTCATGCTTTACCACAAGCCTTAGCCAACTTGTGCTGCAACTCTTGTATGATTTCTAGAGACACAGGACGGAACCTCTGTGGGACCAGTGCCGTAGGCCTTAATATAAACAACTGTCAAAGAGCTGTGATATCTCAGCTTTAATCCACTTCCAAAATTGCTGAAGTCCTGTGTCCTTCGTTTTACCAAGAACACAGTACCTACAGCCCACTTCTTCAACAGCACTGCTGTTGGATTTTGTGTTGTCATAACTGACTAATAAACTGACTATAATGATGTCAGTGATAGTTCATGTTAGTGAGCCCTGGCGAAGACCTTAACAGACAACCTGCAGGCTATATCCAATCTGCCAGAACAAAAAAGTGGCCCACTGGTGACGTGTTTCCTTACTCTTTAGGCTCAGATCACACTGTGTCAGTGTGGCTGGAGTGCTGTACACCGCATCTCAAGTGAGTCGCAGGTGATGTTGTAGACTCCCATTACCAGCAGTCTGCAGGTTAGCTGCGGAGACTCGTTTGCAGGTTGCAGAGCTGAGCTGACCCAGCATGAGCACTCAGCTGCCAGGAGGCTAGCCATTTCATGGGTGGTGCCCATGTGGAGAATGAGAAAGGAAGTTCTCGGGGTACTTTCCTTGGTGCTGTGCTACCTCTGTGCAATGAGCTGGAATGGGAATTGCTGACCGCTGCTGCCTGTAGGTGTTGTGGAGCAGTCCTTGCCAACAGGAAATGGTTTTGGATTAATTAACTCTTCCCGTTTCACTGCTTAAGCCAATGGAGCCCTGATACTGACCTATTTTCATTGACATGCTCTTAGTTTTGCTGCTAGCTTTAGTTAGTGATGTGTCTGTTCCATTTAAGGTGCTTAACATGTTTTTTCTGTTTCTTTTAAATTTGTGTCTGTAGAGCATGAAGACTTTTTAACAGTAGCAGAGTCTCTGAAGAAAGAGTTTGACAGCCCAGAAACCTCAGACCTAAAGTTCCGTGTGGACGGAAAGTACATCCATGTCCATAAAGCTGTTCTGAAAATCAGGTAATGGTCACATTTCACAGCTCTTCTTTATACAGAATAACCTCTTAGTATTGCATCTAAGGCCGGGGTAGGGAGGGACCCCTAAACCTGTAATATATAGCATCTATGTATCCATTATCACTTTAAATGAAGTGATTGTAAAAGGGGTTGAATCAAAACTGTGTCTTAAAATGGTCCATATTCAATTCTCACTAAGGCTATTTGTTGTTCCCAGGCTAATAAATTCTGTTAAGTTGATCTGATTGCAATGTATACACAGACATTTCTGTAGCATAGATCAAATAAAGAGTTTTATCTTGAGCCACAACAATGCCCACAGTCTTAGGAACCAAAATGTGGACCACTGGCTGTGATGGGGTGTGGTAAAATATTTGTGAATATTGCAGAGTGCCCCAAATACGTATTTCAGGGGGATGTAATGTAACGTTTATGTGTTCATATAATAGTGTTCCAGATGATGTCTTTGTCTCTTAGGTGTGAACACTTCAGAACCATGTTCCAGTCATACTGGAATGAGGATATGAAGGAAGTGATAGAAATAGACCAGTTTTCTTATCCTGTGTATCGTGCCTTTCTTGAGTACTTGTATACAGACAGTGTTGACCTTCCGCCTGAAGATGCAATAGGTATTGCTTATAGTCCAATTATGTTAGAAAGCAGCACCCAGAAAAACTGAGACAAGGGGGTGCTGTATAAATGTATTAATATAGGCTTCTAGTCTAGCCTATGACGCATTTTACTGGTGATTAATTACACCGTCTTTAACATACTGTTGTAGCAAACTTACTACAGCAAAAGTGGTGCCTATTTAGATATAAACTATGAGCATTGTTTTAAAGCTTGGGAGAGAAACTCTTTCTCTGGGTTAAAAAACTTGCATATTTTACTAAATTGGGTCACTTGCTGTTTATGATAGTATCAAAGAATCTCAGTAGATCTAATAGGGGAAACTTGGACCGCAGAGCAAAGAGCGAGCTGTAATTCAAGCAGAGATTTTGATACCGGTAGCTTTTTGCTGGTGTTGTGGTGCCTGTTTTGTGACACTTCCACTCTCGCAAGCAGTTAAGTATGCAAATCAGTGGAACAGCTTGCGTATTTACAGAGATTAACAGAATTGCGGCATGAGGTAATAAAAGGCCTTTCTTCCTGTGTAATACTAAAATACATTTTTCTGAATAGTGACCTACTTGCAAAAAGCATGTTATAGACATATAGAACGTTGCATACAGAATACAGATGCAATCTGTACCCCAGTAGCATAAACTGTTGTTGGAAGAGCCGTGATCATTACAACTGACTAATACGATGGTGTTTTAATTACAGGGCTTTTGGACTTGGCAACTTCGTACTGTGAAAATAGACTGAAAAAACTGTGTCAACACATTATCAAGAGAGGAATTACTGTGGAAAATGCATTTTCATTGCTCTCTGCTGCTGTCAGATATGATGCAGAGGTAAACTTCTAAACTTCAATATCTTAAATATAGGTGACTGCTTTCTGATTTAAACTATGGAGAAAAGCAGCCAGTTACATTTTTCATATAAGTGCTCTTTCACTTAATGCCAGATAATACTATTTGCCATTTTTAGAATTTGAGAATGTTGGACTTACAAAAAGTGTATTTGCCATGAGGGATGTATGTTGGGTTTTTTCTCCCATAAACCAGTACTGGGAAGGTGAACTAGTACACAGATATCTAAATATGAATTAAATCCCAGGCTGAGACTCAGTATCTGTAAATGTTTGCATTGCTTAAATTTCATGGTAAAAGGTTGTGATGCTGTGCCAAGCTTCATGAATTGCTGTTTTGGGGTGGGGGGAGAAACTGTAACAAAAAATTTCTGAGGGTGAAAACACTTAACTCTGAAATACAGAGCAAAACCCATAACGTTATGAAAACCAGTCTTGTAAGCCTTAAGTTACTTACTTGTAAGGTTGTGTGTGATGTCATATGGTGGTAGATTTGAGGATTGAGTGCATTTAGGGGGTTTTTTTGGTTGGTGGGGTGTTTTTTTGTTGGCCTTTTTTTGGTTTGTTTAGCTATAGTCAAATACACTTCCAGTCTTCATGGTATGGTAATGAAATGGGAGGATAAGAACTGCTTTATGGGCCTAACAAATGTTGAAGACAGAGAAACAGTGTGTGGAAAGATGGGAAGGCTAGCAAAACTTCCCTACTGCATGATGTCTGACTTCACTACTAGATCACTAACATGCTACTTCGTGAGCTAATCGAGAAGTATTCCTGGGTTTGCTTCAGCTGTTTGTGTTCAGCATAGTATCTGTGCATCATGTTTGCAACTTTGTGATTGGTTAGTTTTTAACTTGCTACTTAAGCTTACAAAGCAGTTTTGGTACTCAATAAATCAACTCATTGCTTTTTCTTGTACTTAATATCCAGCAATTGGCACGCAGGTGCCCTAACTTACTGCAGAGCCTTGTAGCGTGTTGCTTGTTTGATGTGCCTTACCCAAAGGGCTCTGTTAGTGTCTAATTGTGGCTTTGACTCGACTGTGAATAACAATTTCTTTGGTGGGAGTTAATGGAAAATAGGAAGATTTCCATATTTTAGCCCCAAAAGACTGTTTGCAGGATGAGTCTTCGGTGTGTGATTGATTCCGCTTGTAAAGGGTAGAAGAAATCCAGTTGCTGTGCCTTGGCTGTACGTCACTACCTAAATGAAGTTAGAACCATAGGCTTAAATGCTACATCAAGGAGGGAATGGGTGACACCGAGGGGTTGGTTTTTAGCAAAAAGTGGTTTTTACATGCAGTAGTGTTCGATGGGGGCTTGAAGTTGCTTGAGTGATGTAGTTAATTCAAGGGACTGTGCATCTAGAAGACAACAGTTACAAGAAGCTGTTTCACTAATCTAAAATACCTCCATAACATGAAACTCTCTTATACTTTCTTTTGGTGACTGACTGAATTGAAGTGGCTGGAATTAAGGCAGGTCTGACTTCTTATTCTGGCTTTTAAAATAATCATTGGACGTACCTTGTGCCTTTATACTTAATATAGTTAGGTGAAAATTTTGCTGGGAGTGCATCCATCTGCAAATGAAATTCAGCCTTTTTTAATACAGGACTTTAAATTTTCCAGAGTTACTAATACTACAGTATTTCTGTTTATTGTATGCTTGTGTTGCATTGACTTGGAATATGAATTTTTTTAATAAAGCAGTGCAAAAGAATGTAATGTGTATGATGTAATTTTGTTTAAAATGCTAGTTCATTCTGTTGCTTAAAAAAAAAAATCAGTGTTCAGTTCTAATAAGCTTGTCTTTTTTCGTTGCACAGATGCCACACAAGTCAAGATCTACAGCTTCAGAATGCCTGGTTTTAGGCCAGGATATATTTTTATATTATTGTTGTGTCAAGAACTCTGTGGCACACAGTTGCTTTAGCTTTCAGTATTGACCTTAAGTGGAAACATGAGTATTAATCGGTCTTTCATACTTCATGTGGCTTAAAGAGCTCTGCAAATTTGTTATGCCTTACTGCAGTGCCTACTCTGCTGAGCAGCTGAGGAAGGGCGTGTTCTCGCCTAGAAAGCACGAGTTCTACAGACTTAGAACATCATAAAGAAATTAAAACAGGGGAGTTGCTATTTTGTAAGGGCTGCAGCATTCTCCTTATAGCAGCTTAGATCTGGTGCACAAAGAGTAGATTTCCTTCTCAAAAGAGGAGTTGGAAACAAATTAAGTGGGAAACATTTTCTCGTCAACCTTATATTGACGATGACTGTGTTTTGGTGGTTTTTTTTTAAGACATCCTCTCTGACATCATGTGGGTGCGATGATGGTTGTGAGGCTTTTCTAATTGTTACATGCAAAGCACTTCCAAGTAGACTCAAATATCCAGAGTCCACTTTCTGCAAGAATTGCTGTGCTGTACTGTGCCACAGTACTTCTTTCGAATAATTTTGGGGGCATCTGTGAAATACTTTGTAACACTAGTCTGTTTCTAATGCCCAGAAGGGCCGCCTGCCTAAACTTGGTTTTAAAACTATCCAGTTAGTAGGCGCTTGCGTTGAGCCTGGTGACGTGCAACTTCAAGGCTTTAGCTAAGCCCTTAACTAAGCTGGAAGACAAGCAACCCATACACATAGATTTGAGTTTGTTATGGAACAAAAGAGCTGAATTTTCTTAATCCACGGTCTTGGTTATATATCATTACCCCAAGATCTCCTATTTGTTTTGGGTTTTAATAGCTGTCAGTGAGTGCAGATGAAGCTCTTCAAGTGGGAAAACTTTTAAAATACATATTGCTCAGAACAGCTGACTTCTGTGACTGCAGCTATATAGCAAGAGCCAAATTATGGTTACTTTTCCCCTTGTAACCACGTGACATTGGTAGAATTATTATTTTCTGTTGCATTTACATAGTGATTGTGTGGGGGGAAAAACATTGAGAGCCGCTGGGTTAATGTGTCTGTCTAATTCTCTGTAAAAATAAAGCATATACAGGCATTTGTGCCTGAATAATTTTCTGTGATGGAAGCAAAGATTTTAAGAATTTTTTTCTCTTTTTTTTTTTTTTTCCTGTTTAGGACTTAGAGGAATTCTGCTTTAAGTTTTGTGTCAATCATTTGACGGAAGTGACACAAACAACAGCATTTTGGCAAATGGATGGTCCTCTGCTAAAGGAATTCATTGCTAAAGCCAGTAAATGTGGAGCCTTTAAGAACTGAAATGAGGCTGTAAGTTACGGGGGTTTGTTAGGGGTTTTTTGCAGTTATTTACAGGATGTCACAACTGTACGGGTGAAAGTGAGTGTTACCTGGTCGCTTGTACCAGAAGACATGAAAGGCCATAGTGAAAACAAATGTTTTCTGTGCTTAAGAGTGAATTGTTGTTGTAACCACGTCAAGGAAAATACTCAGTTGTGTTTAGCAAACCAGGATGGTGGAACCAGCTCAAGATTTCAGAGAGGGGAAACGCAGTGTGCAAAGGACACCAGCCGCTGTTAAGGACTGACCGACACTTTTAGCCTAGGAAATCTCAGTTCTAGCACGACCTGTTTAATATATTCAGTTTACTTTTGGGGTTTGGAGAATAGTCTGACCTGAGCCACTGAATGATGTCACTTACAATCGTTAACGCCTTGGGATTATAGAGAAGCAAATGGCATGGATATCTCTTACTGCATTTGCATGATTGTGAATGAATTTGCCATTTGCTGTGCGTAATTAACCAAGTGTATTCAGTGCTTAGAAGATTGTGCAAAAATCATATATCCTCAAAGCCTACGCAAGTAGCTTTGAAGAAAGGGGTAACTAGCAAATCTAATTGGGAGTAAATCTCTCTATTTGGGTATATAAGATGTCATGTGTACTTTGTGTAATCTGTTCAAGCAATATTTATAATGGTTAATAGAAAAAATTCCCTCTGGTGATTTCAGATTACATTGGTTCCTTTGGAGAGGAAGGGATACACTGTTCTGAAAGTGGGGGGTTTTGCATCTAAGTGTTGTATAAATTTAAAGTTCATGTAATAAAATTCACTTTTTGTACCTGTTGACTAGCACACTTGTTTGGACTTTGAAGAAAATTGCAAGCTCTTTGTGTTACATACAGTATATAAATTGCTTCATTTAAAAAAAAACCAACAACAACAACAAAAAAAACAAACAAAAAAGAAACAAACGGAAAACAAAGCAAAAACCGACCTAACCCCACAGACTGCGTATTACTGAATGTTGCTGATTTCACTGTGCTTGATCTCAATTTCAGAAAACAGCAGATGTATTTGTAGGCACTGATTTAGACCCCAGTGATTACCATCTATGGATCTGCTTTTTTTCACTAGTAAGTCCGTATGTGACTGTAACCTTACAGCAGGTATGTACTGACATATACCCCTACTATTTTTATTGTGCACTTTTAAGGTGTTACATCCGCACCAAATACAGGCTAGAGCAGAGAACCTGGCAGTTTAGGTTAAGCACAGGTCTAATTTTGGGGTTATGACTTTGCTGAGTTTTGCAAAGCCTGGAATTTTGTATTGATGATTTGAGGCCAGGGAGCTTCTGTGGCATGATGTTGGGAGTTCAGTCTAGGGGAGTCTGATGTGCTTACAAATGTGTCAAATGTTTCTAATAAACAACTTGTTTTGGACTGCAAACTCTAGGCTAAAGATGGAGCTTGGTGAGGGGTGGAACAGAAGAGTACAGGACTTGTCCTCTAAGCTGCTCTGTAGCTTGTCATTAATTCAGATTGCTGCTACAGGAAAAAAGAGCTCACGTGAGCTTTTATGTCATTCTCATGACAGCAGAGTTGCATCTTTCTTTGTTCCCTAATAACAGATAAGTCCACGATCCATGTTAATACACTTTTGGGTTAGGTGGGAGTTTTCTGGGCAGAACAGCTGTAAGGGGAGCAAGTCCTTGACTCAGGCAGCAAACTGGTATGGTTTCTAGTCCTGGACAGCCAGCAGGCCTGAACTGTATAAGCAAGTAAAACTACTAGTGTTTTGTTGTGTGGGGCACAGCTAACAGTTCTACCCCAAGAACTTATGGTTTGCAAGTTGTTATTCTGTGCTTGCTGTCTCCACCTCCATACAGAACAAGAACAAGTTAGGAATTTTCACTAGTTGTGGTGAGAGCACAACTGCTGTAACAGGATGGTGCTGCAGCCTGTCATGACAAGCGGTGTTCGGTGTGATCGTTAAGGGCAATGGATCGCTCTGGTCCTGCTCTGCTTGCTACTGAGAGGCAAGGTGTAGTGACAAGCATGTGTGACAGTGTACCCCTGCCTTGGCCACGTCCCATGCAACAGCTAAATACACAGCATTCTTAAAAACATTTTATTTCATTAACTTACCTTTTTATAGCTAAACAATGCTTTTCTGTATTCAAACAATTTTTTTTTTAAGAAGACAAAACACATGGAAGTCATGTCCTTTCTTAATGGAGAAAGGAAGATACAGTCCATCGTTTGATCTATTTTACATTGTACATGTTGTTTAGAATATGGTGCCCAACACTGTTTCACCACTGCCATTACAGCAGAACTAGTTATACATTAAGCAGTCAATCAAGAATCATTTAATTAAAAAAACCCCCAAAGTCCTAGTTATAATTCAGAAGGCTTCTCTGAGTGCAAGTTCTGCTAATTTCTCTTCTTTGGAAAGCCAAAGCAGCAATGAGATCCTTAAAACATCACGGTCTAGGTGCAGACAGTGAAGCAGCTAACCACCCACAGTCAGAAGAGGGCTCCCCCAGTTAAAGTGACTTTACCAAGTGTTCTGTGGCAGCTGATGCTCCCTTATCTTTGAGGGAAAAAAAGTCTTCATTGGAAGGTTTTGTTGAGCTTTAAAAAAAAAAGCTAAGTTTGGTGTATAACATCCTTGATCCATAGTAAAATTTCAAGAAAGGGACAACTTAAAATTATTGCAACAGTGAGGTATAAAAATGAGTAAAACACCCAGTTCTTGCTTGTGTCCCTATCTTGGGAGGGTGGGGAGGGAATGAATTAGACACTGACCAGACGTGCTCTATGGTTTCTAGCATAGAAAATCCTAAATATTGACACCATTACAGACAGACTTAGGGGTTATTCAGACACTGTACTAGATGTACTGGCAGTGTTCTCTTGGCTAGGAAGGACGACTTCTTTTAAGTCCTGCAGTAGCTCAATCTTGTTATCCAGTCTTTTTCTGCTTTCCAGAAGTTCCTGGATTTTTTCCTCTGTTCCTATTAGGAAAAAGAGACAAAAGCTTTTATTCATCCATAACTATTATTAATTTAAAATACATGCATTAACACTGCAGAGGCTACCGATGCTTAGTTTAGTTGACAATAAAAGCTCTGCCTTTCTGAAGCAAAGTCCTTAGCCTCACACCCTGGACTCTTCGTAAAGAGCTAGACTGCGTGTTGTAGGGAAGAGACCGGCTGAAGGATCAAAGTGTCAAAAGAAGACACAAAGTGGTAGAGTTAAACTTCATCACCCATATGCTGTAGCCTCAAAACTAGCTACATATAGATTTAATTTAGACCATCATAGCAAATGTAAAAATCCTTAGTTTAATTACTATCATTACTTGGCACATGAGCTTTAACAGTTCCATTTTCAGAATCCAGTTGTATGGGGACTCCTCCAATAAAGATGCATTTTAAATCTTTAAAGATAACATCTCTGAGTGAGTTACACACTTAAATTTACAAGCCTAATGGATTTTAGCCAACAACAAAATGAAACCTAAAAAGAGATGGTTTGGACAACTGCATTCACCACCCAGATTCTCAAAAACACAACAACTCAAAAGCAAAACAATTATTGCCAGTATGCTGCCAGGATTAACCACATCCTCTGCCTTATTTGCACAGCCCTACCTGACAGCATTTCTGCTTCTCTCTACAGCTTCCATTTTACTAAAGACAACTGAGATCAGTGAGACCTCAGTCACAGGCCTTGCCAGAATTCAGAAGTGTTGCCACAATCTCACATCATTGTTAATTGCAAGTTTGAGATGAAGCACTTGCTTTGTTCAGTAGCAAAACACACAGAGGTGTCAGGGACCTTGGAGCAGCAAAGTCAGTCAGCAAACAAGTTTTCCTCACCGTGTGTGGCAATGCCAGAGTTAAGATTTTAGTAAGAAGTAAAATGTGTTTTGTACAAACCTGAATATATTTTTCTCTTTTTGGCAGGGAGGGAGGAAGGCATTGAAGGAGGTCTCCAAAGTTGTAATGGGTAGAGTGGGGAAAGTAGCTCCAGACATTTACCCCTGTGTATTCTGAATTACAGAGCTTGAACTATCCTTAACTGCGATTTTAAAAACAAACAAACAAACAAAAAAACGCCTTTGGCCTTTTGCTCCCCCTGCTGCTTCCTCGTTGTTCAGGAGGCCCATCACTGCTGCTCTTGCATGTGTACCTGGAAGATTATGTATACCCACACACTTTTCTAACGCATTTTTAACTACATTACTCAATGAGGTTGCATGTGGATGTCGAAAACAGGCAGCCAGAATGACGGAGCTGTCCACTGCCTGTTGAAAATTCTGGGCAGCGGTTCATTAAAGAGGGACTTGACGCCTCACCCTAACTCTGACTGGAAAAAAAAAGCTGATGACCCTTCTTCTCTCCGCTTTCCTCCACAGTCAGGTGTCACTTGTGTTTGACAGCACATCCTGTCACTGTCCCACCCCAGGCCGTGCCCAGTGTTTCACAGCATCAGCTCAACAGTTGACAAGAGCGCAATGGAAATTGTTGTCTTCGTTGCTTGCCACAGGCAGCCGTCATGGCATTTCCCTTTAGCATCAAGGCTCTGTGGGTAAAAGCACTTTTACTTATTTGAAGAAAAAGCTGGACGTGTACAAGTGGGAGCTGGAAGAAAACTCTTAGACAATATTTGGATATGAATTAATAAATTATCAGAAATAAACAAAGAGCAAACATGACGACTGTGTTACTGCGTTCAGCATACGGGTGACCTGCAGATGGAAGATGTACGGCTCTATTTCTCTTCTGCCAAAAGGATGTGGCAGAAATAGAAATAGCCCAGAGAAAGATGTCAGTGACGGGAATGACTGGCCGAGGGGAGCACCTCCGTAGGAAGGTGGATAGCAGATTGGAATCTTCCACCTCATACAGGAGGTGAACGTGTATTTCTGTAAAATGGCCTGCGGAATATGGACCTGGAGTGGCTGCGCTCGCTGTTCTATACGAAAGACAAGCGTTAAGGGGCTCTCAGTGAAGGCACTGCACAACAGTGTCAAAATGAATTCTCACCGCCTTTGCCTGCGGAACTGAATTGCAGAAATCACTGCTACCGATCCCCTGAAAACAAATGCTGCCGAGGAGCTGAAAAGCTACTGAACAGATTGCTGACCAGCACAAAGAGGAGATTAAAGCTGAGGCATCGCCCCAAGCAGGACACAAACTAGAGGAACTCGCTTTTCCTTGGAGGGAAGAATGAGAACCTCCGACCTAGAAATCTGAAACTGCTGTTGAGGCAGTAGCAGGTCCCATATGAAAAGTTTTAAATGCAGTCAAGTTTGCAGGAAAGCTGCATGCTGCAGAAGAACCGTTTATCCCTATATATAAAAGGGATTTTAAAAAGCGGCATCAACAATTAACAGTTCAGAGTAACCTTGCTGTGCCGATGCATAAGGCTTTCGAACAGGTTGTGCATGCTGATCCAAGTGAAAAAAAGGTAAAATGAAAAAAGAGTAAAGCATGTCAGATGACCCAAAATGATCAGTTCCAGGAGCAAGATCAAAGACAACACGGTGTTTATACTAGTCCTACTTTATTTAGTCCTCAACTTTGCGTGTCATCACAGACACTTGCTAGCTAGAGCTTGGAAGACAGATTAGGGGGGAAAAAAAAAAAAGAAAAAGAAAAAAGCTGGTGCTTTCCTTCCCTCCCAACAGTTTCACTTGTAACTAACATGGTTTTCAGTCCTTTCTCACTGGTTCATTTTAAGAGCTCCTCTTGGATCAGTTTTGGAACCAACCTTGACGTGTGTTTTCATTACTGACCTTGAAATTAAAACTAGGCTGATGGTATCAAAAGAGAACAGTGTGGTACAGGAAAAACTCAGCTGCGCAAGTAGCGGGGAATTGGAGAGGGGACAACTTTGACACAAGAGAATCACGTGGTTGTGTGTATGTAGGTGCCAACATCGAGAATATCTCCTGTAAGCTGGAAAAAGGATAAAATAATTGTTGCAGCTGTGGAAGAAACAAGTGTGATCCAAGGTTGTGTCACATGAGGAGTTTTGAGCAGAGACGTTTTAATGCCCTCAGATGAGGCACGCTGTGTCAGATAATGGCAACAACAGTCACTCCCATTTCCGAAAGAGGAATTTAAATGTGAGAACAGGAGACGGAAGAGAGGAGCCTGGCTTTTTTAGTCAAGTGAAGGGGAGACAGCAAACGTCATCTTCATGCACTGAACCTCAGCGTTAGCTAATTAAAACCCATTTCCCTTTTCACAGGGATAAATGAAAGCAGAAGTTAGAACAAGGCTGCTAACTGTTAGAGAGGGAAATGGGAGCCAAAGACTTGCCTATCCAAAAAACAGTTTTAACCTTGTTGCTTACAATAGCTGAAACCAGAGTCCAAGCCCCAGAGTTTCCTTCCACACTGGTGGTCCCATGCAACTGCTCCTGCCCTTGTTTTCCTTTCCCTCTGAGCATTCTCAGCTTGTTTTTCAAAGCATGTTACAATCACCATCAGGTCCAGGTAAGTTCTGCTCATAGCATTTAATGCTTTTAATTGAAACAGAACAGGAGTCTGAACAGCATTCATTGGACAGGAGCAGAGCTGTAACGCAGGCAAGCTGCTGAAGGGAGGCTGCGAAGGGAAATGACCTGCTGAAACAGCACAGGAGTGCACCCGGCAGGAGAGGGAAGTTCCTCTGGGGCAGAGACTTTGGTCTTGTAAAGCTGTGGAACTATGACTTGCCTCCCCCTTCAGGTCAGCCAGCCAGATTTGACATCCTGTATTTCTAAAGATTTGGGTAGCAATGGCTTTTATTCAATTCTTTGTATAATGCTGAGAAAAAAGTCCCTTGGAATTTTCATTTTAAACGGTCATTTTATCAAAATGCTTGGAGTAACAACTTCAATGCCAAACAAAACCCATACCAACTGCTACTGCTCTGACAGCTTTTTTCACATACCTGAATGAATATTTGTCAGTATATTTTCAAAGAGTCCACAGTCAAAGAGTGACATTACTGTCTCTTCATACTCTGGGGAAAGAGAAAATTTTATTTAATATTACTGAGTAAAGGTTTACAGAACCCTCATGTTAATGCAGAGCCCTACATTAGAAGTAGTACAAAACAATAATTACTTATTTTATATCATACTGAGGTTCTAAGATGTCTTCCTTCTCATATAATCTATATTGAGAAAGAAGGACAATTTGTCAATTCCATTTTTTTTTTTTTTTTTAAGTTTCACACAGAAAATAGAAAAGGGGACCTACCTGTAATTCCCTTTTTGGGTCTGCACCATTTAAAAATGAGCAATATACTTCAGTCGTATATGATTCCATCGGGTGAGGACTGTGTGTGTAATGGCAGGGCTGACCACAACGAATTCCTCTTGACAGATCACGTGACACGTGGGACAGTGCTATCACTGTTCCAATGTTAAAAACCAGCCCAGAATTATGCCTCAATTTTGTAACTGAGGCTTCCATTGAAACAAAATACAAACCACCTACAGAGTTAGAGGTTAGACTAAACCTCTAGACTTAGAGGTCTACATGACTGTTAAGAGGTTTGCTTAACGGTGGAGACTTCGAACCCCTAATGTGTCTTGAACTTCATGACTGCTTCGAGCAGCTGCTGTCATGTTACACACAAGCTGCTTGTGAAGAAGATTTAGCCAGGTGGGACATTTTACTTTCCATGCCTGTGCTTCAGTTACTTTCCATAAATTAGCATTCTCTATCCAAGTTATTATTCATAACTTTGTAAAGCTGGGAGGACAATAGGAGAGGAAGGTTTGGAATTGTCCTTTTTAACTGTGTTGTGGACAAAGCAACATTAAGAGTGGAATCCGCCAAAAACCAAGTGCTTCATACAAGCTCATACTTAAACCGATGAAACCCCCAAATACACACAAACAGCTGACAATAAAATTCTTAACTAATCATCCAAAGACTTAAAACGTACATACTCGGGGATTTTTCCCTCAAAAGAGAGCCGATATTAACAGAGAGCTGGTCCCTCTGTGAAGCTGTAAGAACAACACGGACTTGTGATCCAAATAAAACCTTCCGGTTCTCTTCAGGACCTCTCTCTCCTTCAGTGCCCAGGAGAAGAGGTCTGGCTGAACCTACCTATGCTTATGCCAATGGGTAAAAGATGGCTTTAAAAATTCAAGTTAGGAGGCCTTACTAGAGCGTGCTGGGTTGGCAGCTCTTCCCCTCTACTGACACAGGTATAGCAAAACCAATACTCCCTTTTCCACCTGTGGTGCAGCTGCAGAAATAAGACAGGACCCCGTTATGCAGCACTATGGAAATACCCCCGGGAAGATGACCCGGGGCCGAGTGCCTGGCATTCCGATCAGCATTTCTGCTCTGACAGCCGAGTCCCCATGGGTCTCCATACCTGTTTCTGAAGTGTTGTCATCCATCAGTTTTTCCTGTGCCAGGTGAAGTGTGTCCAGCATTTCTTCAAATATGTCATCCAGAAGCCCAGCTTGCTTGCATTTCCTAAGAAAGTCTATTCGCACTGTTAAAACACAAAACCACATTCTAATACAGAAG